TATTTTTCTTCAACTTTCCAAACCCAGTACTATTCATTTGTTCCAACCTGAGTTTCAAACAAGCTGTCTTTGATTTAGTCCACCCACTTAAAGTTTATCTTCCCAACTTGTTTTATTAATTTTATTTCTTCTACTATTTGAAAATTCTAGCCACATTCCCCTAGAAATTAACAATGAGAGAAGATTGGGGCAAGACTTAGCCCAGGGTGTTTGATTTCTACCGTCACATCTTCAGCAAGCGGATAGTGTTCGCGCTACAACTACAAGCAACAACCGTGTAGGCTATTGTCATGATCCCTGCAAACGATAGGGCGTGTGAGGGGGCGAGGCGATGAGTTGGATTGTAGCCAGAACGCCTTTCCGCCAATTGTCGCGGACTCAGAATGGCATCATTGGTTGGAAAACCGCCTTGGCAGCACTCCAGTCCTCGCCCCGTTACACGCCCTTATCGTTTGTAGGACTGCGGTGTAGTGCGGCTACGTAATGTTTAGGCATAATTGATGCAATAGCAGTGTTCGGGAGGTTGAACTACTTTCATGGGCGGATTTCTGGAAAGAAGCATCCATAGGGACAAACTTTGGCGCAGTTCGGCTTGGTGGGGGCATTTACTGGTTCCCATCGGCCACTGCCGATGCCCCTCGTGGAGATCTGAAATTTCTGCAAAGCTATGCAATAGCATAAGCTTAGTTCACTCTTGACAAGTGTCTACAGGTCTTACGAAGGTGAGACGTATAAGTTAACAGGAACTAGTAACCGGCGAAAAAGCAAAATGCCCCTCCCCAGCCGAACAGCGCCGAAATTTCAAAAGGAATCTACCAAAAATTCGAAAGAAAGCATTCGTAAGAGATGGATCGTGCTCGTTTTTTCAACGAGCACATCTTCAGTTCAAGGTTCTCAGCGCCCAGTCCACTTGAGCAATTTTACTATTTACACTAGGTAAACTCGATAGCTAAGTGTCATACGCTCTGAATAACCTTACCGATAGATCCTGTAGTGAAACGGCCGAGCAAGTGGATGAGATGAGTATTGGTGGCGATACACAAAGCGATCTTTCTGTTCTTTTTCCGAGAACATAACTCAAAAGATCGAATGGCGACCTCGTCGTGGACGTACGTCGAGGTGATGACGTTGGAGGTAACGATTCAGTAGAGCCTTTGAATGGCTTCATTTCGGCACGTTTGAAGTTTTCAAGTGCATCAATAAGTTTTCCAGCTGCCATCACTTTGAATTCGTTGTCTGAGTTGATGACGAAGGAGGATGAGTGGCGTTTTGACATCGGATTGGTGACATCAGCCGCCTGAGGCGACACAATCCATCGAGACAGCACGATTCGGTGCCGAAAGATGATCAGGCTCACGAAATGGCTCTTTGATAGGAGCTAGCGAGGGGGCATGTCGAGCACGACGTCTTACGGCCGTCTTAACGGATAACGGAGGATAGTGTTTTTCCATGCCCATCATAACACGCACGTCACCTTCAGCTTCATCCTCGCTACTGTCGATGAATCTCATCCGACGATGTAACTGCGGTGGATTGAAGGAGCGTCCTGCAGAATACCATTCTCTACTCATTTGCGGCGGATATGGCAACGTCATCTATACGGCATTACGGAATCAGAAGAGAAGAAATCAATTGATGGAGACAGCTACGGGATGGATGGACGTCCAACGTGTGTGGACAATCATGTACAGAACTAACACGATGCGAAAGTGTACAAATATGGCGAGAGAATCGTGAAATAGTGAGTCACGCTTGGAGGGTTACGTGGGTGAATAGAAGGGGGAGGATACGTTCGATGAGATGAGAGGATGAACATCGATATAGCAGCTGAACACATAAATGGCATAAAATCGGCTGAAGTAGCCTGGAAGTTCCACTGAAGAGGAGCTGTTCGGACCTTCAGGATTTCAAAGGTCCCCTTCATGAGCTCAAGGGCTTTGCAATGGTACAAGGCAGAAATAAGAAAAGAAATGCGGTGTGGGAACAAAAACACCCTATGGGAAGGGCTAGAAGGGCTATCTCGTGACAAGAAGGCGAACAGGCCACGTCGTACGTTGCGGATACCCATGGAGGGGTCATATTCGATCGCTGAAGGGAGGGAGGTCGTATTCGGAAAGTGAAGGGACGGAGGGAGGTCGTATTTGGTCACTGGAGAGCGAGAATCGTATATGCCTCCATAAAAATGTTTTCAGTATTTTTTGACTCTCCGGGTTTTCCTGTTCCAAACGCCATCACCCCTCCCCTCCCCACTGCCCCGGCTTGGGGCAACTGAGCAGCTTTTTGGAGAAAAAGAAGAAGTTTGCAGAAAAACTCCTAAAAAGTGGTGGGAAGTTGAGAAAATTCAGAAAGTGGTAGGTAGGACGGGAAATGGGAAGGAGGTGGGGGAAAATGAAAGGGTTTTAGTTAAATTTGCATGAAGGTGCTTGATGGCAGGACGTGCCCTGGACTCCTGTCTGCCATGAACGTGCCCTCTACGTGAAATAGTCAAGTAGGCTAAATATGATAGGATAAATAGTTTTAATCTGTGGCGGGTTACACCGGGGCAGGGTGCTAGACAGCTCCGATTCCAATCAAATAGCAGTTTTGCTGCGCCATCAAGTAGGGAACGGGGGCATGGGGCGCGTGAAATGGGGAAATTCAGCGATCGAAAAACTTTCGCTCGGGCCGAATACAATCCCCCTCTGTGGCGGGATTCGCCATACAACAGAACGGTGTGTAAGGTCGTGCAGGCGCTAAGGTATGTGGGAGGGCTACGAGATAAGATTAACGCTCCACTGCTCGTCTGCGCCCTTTCGATGAGACAGGGTTCTGCCAACGATTGCCCCCCCCCCTCTTACAGGCTCAGCCTCAGAAAGCGTAGATAAGCAGGGAGAACGAAGAGTCGCCATCTGTTTTTTCCCTCCCACTTAAGTACTTTAGTGCCGCCTGCTAAATAGGAGAGCCGTGATAGCCCTAATCCTAATCTAGTCTGATCCTAACACTCCTAATCTTTTGCACTTTGAGCGATCGCTTTTGTCTCTATTCAGTACTCATATTTCCAAGATGACACAGCTACTTCACAGATGAAGATGGGCAGCTTCCTGGCACCCTCCCCACACATCTCTCAGAGTAAAAGTAAGTGTGATAGAATAACTAACCTGCAGTTGGATCGATAAGCTATCCTAAAAATGGGCCATTTGTTTGGCCCAGGCGGAGCCTTCGAATCCCTAAGCCCTCCTCTGCTTAGAATTTGCATAGTTTCGGGAACGTTATCAAGTAGCCCTTTATCTCAATTGCATCCATATTCGTATAAAATACGGCGCCAGTTGTAACCACGTGAAGGGGGTTTTTCTGGAATGCTGTGGCTATTACGCGATTCCGTGAAGGTTGAGGATTGCATGGCACTTTGTCGTTTCCGCTGTCATTTTTTCTCTCCTGACTGGCGCTCTTGTCGCTATTGAGCACTTTACATACCAACGATTTACCCAGTTTTCTGTTTCCACGTTTGCGAAAGTTGTCAAGCATAGATAGATGCGAAATCGCCTGTTTGCAGTTTCCTTTCCCGTTTATGAGCTCAGTCTTGAATTCTTCCGTTGTGTAGCACTCTAGTTATTTGACGCGCAAGATCCCTTGCCTTGGTACAGATTTGCACTCGCAGGGATCAGTTCAGTCGCGCAGATGTTTCCTTGTAGGCAGGGATACTCTCGGCACTGTGTAGTGGCATTAGAATACCTTTTCTCAGCGCATGTGTTCTGCTGAAGCATTTGAAGTAGGAACCGGGTAAGAGGGATAAGAGAAGAGGAAAGAGCAAAAGGAAGGGAGAGGAATAGGAAGGAGTTGAGAACCATGCGGCGATTGGTTTAATGGCGATGTCAGTACGACCCTCTTCCCTCAGGAGGTGAACCTCGATAAGACCTTCTCTCACAACCTCTTGCAAAAAGTGGTCGAAATTTTGCCGGTGATGTGGAAGTTAGGGGTTTAACAGTTGCAAGATTAAGCGAAAATGTGAAAAGTAAAAATCTTCAAGGTCAGGAACACTGCCCGTCTCAGTGAATCTTAGTACGACCCCTTTGCGAGATCCGTGTAGCGGTGACAACCTGTGTCTGCTACCGCTACTTTCGTGGCAAGATCCTGAGACGAGAAAGGTCTGGGCAGCTACGTGAACCCTAGCGACTACCCTAATAAATGCTGAAGCTTGATCGGGAACTTCATATGACTCAGAACGATTTTCAGGTTTTCGAAGACAGCTGACCGCTGGAAACAAGGGCCCGATTGAGACAGTTACATACTCATAAAACTGACTGGTAAACAGTAAAAAATAAGAATTCAGCTCAAATGTCAAGGTTTCAATAAGTGACTGAGCCTAGAACTAGCCATCAGTGAAGCTTTTGGAAAACAAAAGTCCTCCATTCTAGCTTCGAAGAAACTCGAATTCAAAACAAAAGCGTGGGAATGAAACTTAGGTGAAGTTTACCGAGAACGCGAGAAAAAAACCGGTTAAAGCTCAAAGCAATACCAGTTTGTCAAAGTTGGTAGGAAAAAGGGCGAGGAAAACAATTCACAATTGACAGATGTGATGGTGGGCATTCCATTAGGCGCAATGTGCGGAGGTGTTTCAAACTGCCACGGTTCCAGCAGCTGCTCCCATTCCGCTATGCCTGAACAATCATGAACAACGCTATGTGTGTCATGACACAAAGGCGCATCAATGAAAGAACCCTGGACGGCTCCCGCGGCAATGAACATTTCCCAAAAAGCCTCAAAAACGGCTAATATCACAGTGACGAGATGAATTGATAGGAATATAGCTGGTTTTCTTATCGATTAGAGAGATGCATGGAAAGATCAGAAGCCTGGCAAGAGGAGCAGGTTCCTTGAAATCTTCGAAGCTTGAAAAGTTGCTTGATATTTCCCTCACCATCCGAAAACGGGGTATGCCGTGCAGAAAGGGTCGAAGGTACGTCGGAAGATTCTCGATGGGGGATCGTATTTCGGTTTTGAAGGGAGTTGGATAGCCTTTGGCTTAGGCTGAGTGAGCTAGGTCTTCCTACACCCGAATCGG